GCCATGCTTCCCACGTGTCCCACCTTTTATTTCAGATTTTTTTTATTAATTTTTTCATTTTTATTGATTTTATTGGATTTAATTAATCTTAAATCTTTTAAAATCAAAAGAAATTCAAAAAAATTAATTAAATGGAATATTTGGCTTTGACTAAACTTAAATAATCATTATGTGCCTACCAAATTCGTGCAAAGAGCAAACAAGGCAAGAATTCAAAATTTGAGTCAAAAATGGAAAGATGGTTATGGTGGTTTATGTGAAAATCCAATACATCAATGCAAGGCTTTATTGGCTATAATTCCCATTCATACACATTGCATAAGGTATGTACAAATGATCAGAACAAAAGAGAGACAAAGCTGCGCCAGAACTCAAAGTACAAACTCACACTTTTCACAAAAAATCTCAAACCTGAAAACTCAGTTAGAGGTGGTTTCAAGCCAAAATTCCCATCCCATTAGCTTCCTTGAGTATCATTGGACGTATCCCAATCACAAACATCAAAGATAACCTCAAGAAACGGTAGCATAAAGTCATCCTGTCCATGAGTTTTTGCATAATCGTACCTTGGATTTCATGTTGTATTCATGCATTTTAAATATTGTTTTACACTAATGTGGTTATGCTGGAACTTTTGATGATGTTTAATTGAACTGATCGTGCTTGTAGCAAAAGATACCATGATTATTTTTTAGGGTTTGCAAAGTCTTGAATTAGGGGTTTTAAGATACAGCAAAATCAGAACACCATAGTGCCATGGTTGTGATCAGCGCATCTGGACGAAGAAGAAGACACCATCGCGCCAAATTTCTGAGCGTCACAGGCTTAATCGTTATTATTGAAATCAGTTTATTTTGAGGGGGTTTAAAACCCCCGTTAAATGTTTGCTAAATTCGTTTCAGGAAATCCAAGGAAGAAGATGAATTCGTGGCATCAGGCGATTGGCTAGTTTGAAATTTTGCGCGCAAAACCCACTAATGATTTCATTTCTTTTATAATATTCGCTGTTTGTTTAATGTTAACAGCGCGCAATTGGCTCAGTTGGTAGGCCTAGTGGGTGGCAAAACACATGACCTGGGTTCGAGCCCCAGGTCTTCAATAATCTCTATATTATTTTTCAATAAGCAATCTCATGCAGGTTCAATATCAAGGCACATCATGCACCTTCAGAATCCAATGTCCACGCGCCCACTGAGATCAAATCAAAGGCGCAGAATTGATGAATACCATAGGCTGCAGTCAATGCGCTACATACTACTCAAAAAAGGTCAAACGGACATGCTTATTGGGCCAGAATCTCCATGGACTTTATCTCCAAATTAAGGGTTTCACCCCCTTAGGTTTTACAATTTTCTTTCTTTTTTTTTTGTTTCTTTTTATTATTTTTATATTCTTCTAATTGTTGCTTTATTTTAATTAATTAATATTTTCAAAATATAAAAAACATAAAAAAAAATCAGAAAAGATAATAAAAACAATAATTTTATTTTAGTATTAATTTTGTAATTAAATTCCATAATTAATTTAGATTTAATCCTAGGTTATAATTTAATTCTTTTTTCTTTTTTTTTTCACAATAAACCAAAAAATAATAAAATTAGATCTTTAATACTTTTTCCCTTTTTTGTAATTAATTAAATATTTTGTCATCAACCATTAATTTTGTAAATAAGTTTTATAATTAATTAGTTTTAATTTTAGGTTTTAACTTTAATGCATTTTCTTTAATAAATTAAAAACAATTAAAATTAGAATTAATTACTTGACTTTTAATCAATTTAATTTTCTTTAATGTCATAAATACAAAAAAAACATAAAAATAAGTTCTTCTTTTATTTATTTAATTTAATTATTTTAACTTAATTATTTTAAATTCCTTCAAAGGGTTCAACGCCCTCGCATTCGGTCATATTTTCCTTTTTTGCGCATTTTATTTATTTTTGATGTAAATATAATGTACTTGTACCCAAAGCCATGTAATAGCTATTAGATATTTATTTTCTGCAATTTATTTTAAATCGGGTCTGGATTAATTTGGCGTTGTAGACCCGCGCCCTTGTAATAGCGTAGGACCTTTATCCTTTCCGCACTTTAAAATTTCGCACTTTTAACTGTTAAACAATAACATGAAAGAATGAATGCCCAAAAATAAAATCGAAACGTAGATCACCAATGCATGACAAGACAAACAAATAAACTGAAAATGACACACAATTCACACACCACCCCTAGGGTACGCTTCACTGTTGCCTTGCCCCTCGAAAGGTGGTCGTCGAGTAGAGGATGTCTTAGTAAGTCCTCATGATCCGGGAACCTGGCATGAGGGTAGCTTCTAAGGTGTCTTCCCATTGCTCTGGTGATCACCATGTCCCTAAAATCGAATTGACCCGAACACCTCCAACGGTGGTGCTACCTACCTCTCAATGGTGGGATGGCACTACCTAAAGGACAATCACACAGCTTTATTCCTTAGGGTAGGTAGATTCTCATAGATACTTGCTCAACTCAAAAACAAACAAAATACTTTTCACACCTACACTTTCTAAAAGTTTTCAAACAAATTTTTCATACACTCTTGAGGACAGATACAAGAGTTACTTAGAGATTTTTCAAACGAAACTTTTTTAACCCACTCACCTTGAAAAGCAAACAAACATTTTGAAAACACAATGAGCAGGTATCTAAGAGCCCATGGATAACCATGGATAGAAAGGGTGCTAACACCTTCCCTTTCTATAATCTACCTCCCGAACCGAGAGCAATCTCTTTAAAGGAATTTTTCTGTGCTTTTGTCCTTTCCATTTGGAGAAAATAAAAGACGGTGGCGACTCTTGCTTACCGCGACATTTCGCGAAACCAGCTTTAAAACAGTCAGTTCCAGATCCACCGATCACACCCCCGAACTCAAGAGAATTCTCAAAAGGTCTTTCCTGTTCTTTTCACCCTTTCCTTTATTGGATAAAAGAAAAGTCGGTGGCGACTCTTTCTATCGGCAACATTTGCAATCAAACGCAAAACACTCAAGTCAGTTCTTCCACTGTATTACACTCACGAACACCATCCACACTTCTCGTCGACCAAGACAAATCCTTCGAGCATCCTCTTCGTAGGGCTGACACTTAACACCCCCGAATATCACGGAGTCCTCCTGACCCCAAAAAGACCACACCCATATCCTCTTGATAGTTCGGAGGAATCCATCCAGGTTGAGGACCACGTGTTGGCCCCACTACGCATGTAGGACGTGGCAGTCTGCATTTTAGGCCTGCTTGCTCAGCCCAATAATGGAGGCCTTGGCCTAGTACTGAGGGCTAAAATACCCTCTCACTTGAGAGGGTCGTGTATTCATTCACTTACTCATACTATCATACTTGCTAGAACTCACTTTGAATCTCACTTTGGCATCAGAGTATCTTGCAGGTACCTCCCTCACTTCACTTCCAACTGTTTTTTCATTTGAAGCCGGTGGGCTTTGACAATCCCTTCTGATTAGGTACGATCACATACGAAATAGTGACATGGTTTTTGTTGCATCATGAAATAAGTTCACTATCAAATATAAAATTTGAAACTTGGCATCAGAAGGTTGAAAAGAAATTTGAAAGCTTAACGAATAAAACATAACAATAACAACATAATTTTCAACACGCAAAAATTAACATATTTCACACCTCAAACACACATTAAAACTATTTTAGCAACAAGACTAGAAATAATTTTGTTGAAGAAGAAGAAACAAAAAGGTAAAAATAAATGAAAACTAACAAAGAGAACTTAAACACGAAGAAATCGACCATAACATATCAGAACAACGGTAAAGAGAGCAACAATGGTGGTAGGCGGCGAAAGCAGCAGTTTGGTGAAAATAAATTTTTGTGACTTATGGTTTTTATTTTTTTATGTTTTTGAGTTTGGTTCTAGATGCGTATTTTGTTTAAAGGAAAAAAAAAACATAAATAAAGATGGAGAATGGTTAGACCAATACAAAATTTGAACTTAATGATGGGTGAAATAAAAGATTTAAAACGTAATTATAATCATTAATTCAGTTCATTGATTTAACATTTTCTAAAATCTAAAACCGAAAACTGAACTAAATCACATCGATTGGATTTTGAAACCAAACAAAAAACAATCGATTTTTCTTGTTTGGTTTGATTTTTTGGACTAATAACGACATTCTTTATTCAAATTGATTGAAACATCAAATAATACAAATTCAAAATCGTTATAACCTGAAAATGATGAATCTGCGAACAAACGCACAACACTCACGTTGTTAATAGCATATATCGGCAAAATGTCTACAAATATGATAAGGCTCACAAATATGACAAAATTGGTATGCTCGAAATATCCATGTCTTTGAGTCTACAACTTTGACGACGTCAAAGTCATTGATTGAATATGCATTAAGTCAGAACTAATATGTTAATCTGAATCGAACAAATACCACAACAGAAAAACAAAATAACGCTGCAATAAGACACAACCAACACAATTGATACGTCGAAATCACAAAAAAAAACAAGTGAAATTGCACTTTTTAAATGAAAAGGAAAGAAAAAAAATTTTAAAAGAGTGATTTTGAATAAAAAATTAACCATAAAACCATCCATCTTAAAACAATAAAAAATTAGAATTCAAAAAAGAAGAAAAAGAATTAAAAAAGTTTTTTTAATTGTTTTTTTTTATTCGACTACACTCCTACCAAAAACACAATGTAAACCTTTTTATTTTTCTTTCACATTTAATTATTTAAAAATGGTCAAAATATATATTTTAATTATACATTCATTTTCATTTGATGCTGTAAAAAAAAATCTTCATTTGAAGGATAGATGGAATGAAGTAATTAAATTACGACTCCATCATTCGTCTCCGCTCCATTCTTGACGACATTGCTGCATATTTTGGTGCAAATTAATTACTACCAATTACTACTACTAGTTATTATTACTCATTAAAGAAACCACTTAGAAATAGATCGAGAGAAGAAGATGAAGATCTCAGGGTCAATTTCGTCAATCTTCCATCTCTGTCTCCTCCTTCTCATCCTCATCGGAACGTTATCGCCATCTCACGCCGTCGACGACAAATGTGCTGCCTGTAAAGCTGTTGCGGTAACCTCTAACAGAATTCATCTTTCACTCATTTTTTACTATTCAAAGAATCATCGTTCAGATTTAGTTCGTTTTTGATTTGATTTGGTTCCATTTTTTTTTGTTGCAGGGAGAGCTAGAGATTGAACTTGCCAGTGTAATAACATGATTTGATTCAATTCGATTTGTTTGTGTCTCTGTATTGCATTATCATTATCATTCATCCATTTATTCATTGATTTTACATAGGAGAAGCCGCGGAATCATTTGGATATGCGCCATCGTTTGGACTCTAAAGGCCAACGTCAAGGAAAGTTAATCGATTACAGGTATACAAATTTACATCACATTATTAGTTATTTCGATAAACAGCTTATAGCACAAATGCATAAACCTTTATGAATAAGTTCGCATAAGCCATTTCTATATGATATAAGTTGTTTTTGTTAAGAATCCGTTATCAATATTGATTCATATTCAATTAGTCATATAACTCTAATTGATATTATTTTTTATTGTATATTACCTATTTGCATATTACCTATGCATCATGTGTGATCATTTTTGACACACGAAGATACAATCTCAATATGGTATCAAGAGCTGGTTGACCTACTGTCTTCCACACAAAAAAAACTCCTTTTTTTCCGGTCACCCGCAACGCCGCCACTGCCAGCCGCCTTCGCCGCCGCTCCCGAAGACTTTCCGGCGAGGTACCTACACCACCGGAATCGTCTCCTCCAGATCGGCCGGAATCCGACAACGCCGCCGTCAACCGCCAAACGCGTGGCCGCGCGTCCACCGCTCCCCGCCGTCGCCGTTTTTCTCGTCGGACTCGTTTTCTGGTCATCTATCTAGATCTGCTCTTGGTTTTTCGTTCCAAGCCATCAAATATCATGGGAGATACCGATTCCGCCACGTTCACTAAAGTTCCATTTATTCCGTGTGAGAAACTAACCGGAACAACAAACTACAACATATGGGCTGGTGCCGTCAATATGTGATTTCACGGTCAGGGATATGAGGATCACTTAACTACAAAAGTTGATTCTATTCCCGTCGCCAAACGCGATAAGTGGAAATAAACTGATGCTTCTCTATGCACTGTGTTATGGTTTTCCATAGCAACTAATCTCCAAGCACAGTACTAAGCCTTTACCACTTGCTATGAGGTTTGGGAAAAGACTAAGAAAGTCTTCTCAAATGATGTCCACAATCTTTACAGTGTCATCACCAAACTCTGCTCTTTGCAATTGGAGAATATGGATATGCAAGGCTATCTGACTAAGCTTGATGCGTTAAAGGAAAATTTCACAACCTTAATGCCCTTTACAAAAGACGCAACAACTTATGCTGAACAACAAAGTAAGTACTTCATGGTCATGACACTTGTTGGACTGCCATTTGAACTTGATTCTGTTCGAAATCAAATTTTATCAGGAATCAACGTTCTTAACTATGAAGCAGTTAGTGAGCAACTGTTACGCTTGGCTACACCTCATGCTTTTGGACCGGTTCCTACTTCATCTCCCACTGAATCATCTGCTCTTGCTTCCCACTATCATGGTCGTGGTGGACGGACCGGAGGACGGGGTGGACGTTATGGTATTCGTTGTAACTATTGCAATCGCTACGGTCACACTGAAGTCGATTGTCGTACAAAGGCAAGAGAACAACAACGGCAACCACGGATCGCTGCCGTCGCTCAACCAGATATCACTAAAGATTTCACTATTTCCGCCGCTGATTGCAATGATTTCCTTCAATGCAAAGCAGCCCATCAACAATCATCATCTGCCGTTGTTGCTCAATCGGGTATCTTGTAGCTTTTGTCTCTACATCTTCTCTTGGTCCTTGGGTCCTTGACTCTGGTGCCTCTGATCATATGACTGGTAATAAATCTCTTTTATCTCACTTGTCTTATTTTGATTATTTGCCTTCTGTCACTGTGGCAAATGGTTCTAAAGTCAAAGTTCAAGGCCTTGGTCAGGCACGTCCACTTCCAAACTTCTCTTTAGAGTCTGTCCTTTACATTCCTGGTTGTCCCTTTAATCTAATATCTGTTCACAAGCTTATTCGTACTCTTGATTGTTCAGTCCTCTTTAATGATAATTCTGTTTATATCCAGGATCGACGTAAAGGACGGACGATTGGAGCAGGGAGTGAAGCTGGAGGATTATATCATCTTTCTCCACCGGTGGCCTGTGCTTCTATTGCTTCTCAAGAACTCACACATCAACGTTTGGGTCACCCTAGTCTTAATAAAATGCGTCTTTTAGTTCCTAGTCTTTCTAAGCTTTGGTCTTTTAAGTGTCAGTCCTGTCAATTAGGCAAACATACTTGTAGTACTTATTGTCAACGAGTAAATAAAAGTGTTGTATCACTTTTTGCTTTAGTTCACTCTGATATTTGGGGTCCTAGTCGTGTGAAGTCTACTTTAGGATACTATTACTTTGTAACTTTCATCGATGATTACTCACGATGCACTTGGTTATTTCTAATGAAAAATTCTTCAGATGTTTTCCGTATATTCCAAGAGTTTTATGCTGAAATTAAAAATCAGTTTAACACTTACATTAAAATTTTACGCACAGATAATGCTCATGAATATATGTCATCCCAGTTTCAATCTTTTTTAACATTACAGGAAATTATTCACCAATCATCATGTGCTCATGCATCACAACAAAACGGTATTGTTGAACAAAAGAATCGTCATTTAGTTGAAACCGCACAGACTCTTTTACTTCACCACAATGTACCCTCTCATTTTTGGGGTGATGCTCTCCTCACCGCATGTCACCTTATCAACTGAATGCCTTCATCGGTCCTTCAAGATCAGATTTCATACTCTATCTTGAATCCGCAACATGATCTCTACCCCATTCCCCTTCGCGTGTTTGGTTGCACATGCTTTGTTCATGATTTTAGTCCAGGTAAAGACAAACTTTATGCTAAATCTCTCAAATGTAACTTTTTGTCCTCAACTTCAACGGTATATTGTCTCCTCCGATGTTACATTCTTTGAAGGTTCCCCTTTTTTCTCTGCCTCTTCGTCCTCCCATGAGATTTGTAATTTAGATGATCAAGATATCCCTTATGTCATCCCCACACCCATTAAACCTCCTTTGCAGGCATATCAGCGACGCACATTGCATCCATCGGCAGTTAGAGATGATATTGATCCACCAGCACCATCTCTTACTCCAACTGTTCCTCCAGCTACGTCACCTAAACTTGACCTTCCAATAGCATTACGAAAAGGTATTCGATCTCATAATCCAAATCCTAAGTATGTTTGTGCTTTAAATTATGATTGTCTCTCTACTTCCTATGTTTCTTTTGTGTCTACTTTGGATTTTGTGTCTATTCCTAAGTCTACAGGTGAAGATATGACTGATCCCAATTGGCGTCAGACGATGGTGGAAGAAATGACTGCATTGCATTCAAATAACACTTGGGACATTTTTCCTTTATCTCCAGACAAAACTACAGTGGGATGTCGATGGGTTTATACAATGAAAATTGGACCAGATGGTCAGATTGATCGTTTTAAAGCTCGTTTGGTAGCCAAGAGATACGCACAAATATTTGGCCTTGATTATGTTGACACCTTTTCTCTAGTGGTCAAGATTAGTTCAGTCTGTCTCTTCCTTGCATTGACTGCTATTAATCATTGGTCGCTTCATCAGTTGGACATTAAAAATGCCTTCTTACACGGAGAATTGGAGGAGGAAGTGTATATGGATCAACCTCCAAGTTTTACTATTCCTGGTAATTCAAGATTTGTTTGTCGGCTTAATCGATCTCTTTATGGGCTGAAAAAGTCTCCACGTGCTTGGTTTGGTCGCTTCAGTTTTGCCTTGATACAGTTTGGTATGACTAGATGTCAAGCAGATCACTCTGTTTTCTTCCTTCACTCTTCCACCCGTTCAATCCGGTTTTCCATGAACGGACCAAGCACATAGAAATAGATTGTCACTATGTAAGAGACAAGGTACTGTCAGGAGAAATAACCACGGAATTTGTCAAATCTGAAGATCAATTGACTGATATGTACCAAGTCTCTCAAAGGTTCTCGAGTGAATTATATTTGTAACAAGCTCGGATCATACAATATACACGATCCGGCTTGAGGGGGAGTGTTAAGTATCCGTTATCAATCAATTAGTATTGATTGATATTCAATTAGTCATAATTTTATTTGCATATAAATATACACCATGTGCGATCATATTCGACACATAGAGATAGAATCTCAATAGTTTTCATTAGCTATCTTGAAAAATTTATGAAAAATATTATAAGCTGTTTTAATTAAGTCTCCCAAACCGTGTCACAAAACTTATGTCAATAAATAAGAGGCTCTAAATTAGAAGCTTTGAAAGAAGAGAGTTGTTGAAATGAATTAGGCATTATGTAGGGAAAATTGAAAACTGAATCAATGTGACATCTTTTTTTTGTTTCCAGAATTCAATTTGACATCTGACACTGAAACATTTGGTCATGAATCTCATTTCTTTAAACAATTATCAGAAAGAAGAATGTATTTGTTATGCTCAGCTACATAATTAACTAATTGAAATTTTTTTGTACAATATTCAGAATCAGCGAGTTAAGAGTCGTTGACCTTCTTGATGGGCTCTGTGATAAGATGCAAGATTACACACTCAGGGTACTTGTTTAATTACTTTGCATTGGTTTCTTATCTTGTCGTTTTGTTCTATAGGTGTTGAATTTCTATATGGGAGTTTACTATATCTTTTTGGTTGTAAGAAATTTACACATGTCTTCCCTGTCTCTTTGATTATGTTACGTATTTAGATATTTTAGAATGGGTGTTATTGGCGTTGTGTTTTCATCTGTTTTGCAGATATTTCCAGATTTTCATGAATGGTACAAAGTGGGTAACTGGGATAACCTCAAAACAAGTATGCACTCTATATCATCTACCTTTGATTTTCCATACTTGACTTCATGAAATTTCTCCTTTTGTTTACCAACCAATGCATATATATATATATATATTGGTGATTTAGTATCACCAATGTATTTTAGTAGTAATGTGATTTACTAAAGGCCGATGCAATTCTGCGTTAAGCTTGGAAACGAGTTAGGGAAGTGCGGAGTGCACGCTCGTCGAGCCAATGTATAATTGAATATGAATAATTGAAACGGAGTTCCAAGGGGCGAAGCCCCTGGCGGGGTACGGGGCAGCGCCCCGTTGGGGTTCCAAGGGGCGAAGCCCCTGGCGGGGTGCGGGGCAGCGCCCTGTTGGGGTCCAAGGGGCGGAGCCCCTGGCTGGGGTCCCGCTTGAATCCTTTTCCCCAACCGACATAACCGTTTTTCGGAACAAGTGTGTCTTTTCGGTTTCAGTTATTGATCTCCTATATAAGGAGTCATTTGGCCTCGGTTTCAAATACGAAAAACGACACTTTCTCTCTACATTTGTAATCAGTTTCTTTTGCCAGAAACAGATTGTTCTTCGAGAATTATCCCCACAAAGATTTCGTGAACCCAGACAAGAATAGGGTCGAAATACTTTGTTCGGAAAGTGTACGAACACGATTCTTCTAAGTTATCCAGGATTATGATACCCAAATATATATATATATATATATATATATATATATATATATATATATATATATATATATATATATATATATATATATATATATATATATATATATATATATATATATATATATATATATATATATATATATATATATATATCCAGAACGGTTACTTGATTGGACTTCACAGCCTTAAGAAAAACATGCTAAAGTTTTCATGGAAAAGAACCTAGGAGAATAGTTAAGAAAATATTATGCTATTATTATAATGCTAAGCTCATATGCTGGATCAAAATATACATTATATTTAACATTTTGATTGCTTGTCTTTAAAAACTGGAAAGGTAGCTGTAATTTAATTGGATTCATCATCAAGTATTTGAGAATACTATTTTGCAAGAGTTTTTACTTGTCAATTTATCAACCTGTTGCTTATAATGCATATGGCTGATTGTGAAGTCCTTATTTCACATTGGACACATATAAGTATTAAGGTGAAAGATTTTAATTCCTTAATGAGTAACTAGTAGTAATTATTTCAGTTGTTGCATTGTCATGCTTATTCCAGTGTTTACCGTTTTAGTTATTTCCTTTTTGCTTTTTACTTCCTGTTTTTCATACTTTGTAGAGAAAATATTTAATAGGTCTTTTTTTCCACATTCTCATCCTCATCAAAGTTATTTGAACAAATAATGTTCTTGATAGATAAACAAGAAGCTAAGGCATATTCGAAAGATATCTCTTCTTATTGTGGAAGGTAAGAGGCAACTAGGTTTACGTTTTAACTTTTAACATTTTTTAACATGACATTTATGGCATCAACGCATTTCCTTTTACTTTTGCAAGAAGTGACTTTAAAGCTTGAGTACTGCTGATGTGCACTAACCATCTGTGTGTACTGTGACCAGATTACTTGAAGAAACAGAAGATGAGGTGAATTTTCATTTTTCTTGACTCTTCTGCAGTTATATATATCTATGTTCGTCTGCATTATATGGTATGAAGAATTATTTATAATGATGCCATGTCTCGTAGCTGACTGAATTGATAAAGAAAGGATCTGTTCAAGTGGGTGGTGTGACCAAAGTTCTTTGTCAAGATTTGAGCAAACATTGCAGTCAGACGAGGTAACTTCAAAGATAATAGTTAGGATTTATTTTATCCAAGTGGTTCACATGATTTTCTGAGACACATTTCTTATAGACGTGAGCTTTTGTGGTAGCCAAAAGTTTGTATGGTCTAGGTTCATACCATTATTTACAGATCAGGAACATTCTCACATTCATTTAGCCTTAGTTTGAGGAGCCTAATAAATACGGGATTTTGTCTGCCGTATTTATTTTTCAACAATAGATGCATTCTTAACTTAAAAACAAATACGCAGACAAAACTAAGAGTAATGTTTTTTACAGTGTATCACATCAGGTGGTTGACGACGATGATGATGGTGATGACGACGATGATGATGGGGAGCTCTAAAACCCTGGATTATAGGGTGGCTGAAAATATCTGCTTTTGGGCAATTAAAAGTTAGCAGACTGCATCAGAAAATTGATGGTGCTGTCCTTGTAGTTGGAGTTAGAATGACTTTCATTTTTCTTAATTATTAAAAGACATTTAATGATATGATTAATGAGACTCCAATCAAGTTATGATTACGACTTCATGGTTGTTCACCGCACTCTAAAATCTTTTATTTTGAGCACAGATAAATTCTGCTATATACACAAACAAGAAACCTTCTCAGTAATGTTTTGCAACTTCGAAGGATGACATGTTTGGATTGTTCTCTGAAAATTTGAGTTAGGCAGGGTGTTGTTTAGACAAGGTTAAATAAAAACTCTAAAATGTAAATAATAAATTGGTTCCTCAAAAGTCTTCATTAGTTTCTTTGGAAATCTAACCTCAACAATTTGGTAAAAAGCAAATTAACATTGTGTAATGTTCATGCATGTATCATATGACATCTATCAAGTATTTTTTGTTTTTAATGTTCATATGAAGAAAGTAACTACAAAAGTTGTAAATGATATTAATACATGAACCTTTCGATCAGAAAATATATGATATTAGAATGGTGAAGGGTACCCCCGAGCAGGCAGCAACCTTCACATCAACAATTTTATACATACATATATCCATCCATACTTTCTAAACATAAACAATCATAATGAGCTAACTAACACTCTAATACACCCTTAAGTAAAGTGAGACTTTCTGCTGATATACTCCTCCTGACTCGAGAAGGAGGTATCTCTATTCTAGGAGGAGGATCTGGGGAGAAACATACGATGATAACCGTTAAATTATCACATGAATTACGCTTAAGAGCCTCTCTGACCAACTCCCTTGAACACCTTTGAGGATCGTTATGTATCATCAACTCTTTTCTTGCCATGGTCACAGCACATTGGTTACTCATTACATCCCACAGGCCATCACAGCCCATAATCAAAAACTCGTCATCTTCAGTCAGACAGATTTCTCGCAACTCTGGCTCAGCACTCAAAGGGCAGGCAGAACCCTTGGGACCCTTCATGTGCCAGTCTCCTAAGGCACGGGAAACAGATAATTGTCCGTTCAAGTATCCATCATAAACCACTCCACCAAGTTTTTCAATCCTTAGCCTTTCTGAAATGCAATTTGGTTTCTGGTCTATTGACATCTCAATTGCTCTACCTCGCCTACCTAGTACAGCTCGACAATCCCCCGCATTTGCAATTATCAAGTTCCTGTCACGGATGAAATTTTCTCAAGTTGAGTAAAAGACCTTAAAAGAAATCATGCAACAATGGAAAACAAAACAAATATATGTTTCTTTCCGCAACTTTTGCCTCCCATCTCCAATAAGAGAGGACATAAACACTATCCAAGTTTCTTCGGATTTTTCCCAAGTAAACTATAAGTAAATAAGCAAATGCCATTATATTGTTGCCAAACAATGATGATAATAATACAGGTTCAATACCTCCCAAATACAAGCGCAGTTAAAGCAGTGGTGCCAGAGGAGATATCAAGCGAACTAGAATCTGCAAATGCATAATCAGCTTTCATAAACGCACTTGTAATTGCTTTCCCCGTACAAGTTGGAAACTGCGAGTCCTCAACAATGAGTCTAAGGATGTTATTTCTTACAAACAAAGCAGCATCTGTTCCTCCATGACCATCAAACACCTGAACAATGAGCATGTGTTACAGAACTGTAAGAAACTCTGCTAGGGTTCAATAGCAATACAATATAATCAATAATGAGAAATACAAAGAGTTAAAATAAAAAATATGAACAATAGGTTATAAAAGACTAAACTACCTTTAAGCATAGTAAACAAATAATAACATAAGAACCTATTATCTAACAGTTTCAATTAAACACAAGAATGTATAAATGAGGCCTGATCATCATAGCAGACGTGTAAACTGTAAAATCGGGTGAGAATAACATACGAACCCCATAGAAAGCTCCAGGAAAAGGAAGATTTGAAGCAGAACCTATGTGTTGAGTAAGATCATCTATACATATGTGTTCATCTTCCATATATTGTTTAGGCCCTCTTTCAGCACAACTTCCTGACCGATATATGGGTAGATAACCTGTCTTGTCCTCAGAAGATGACTTACTTCCAGTTACCTCGGCATCTAGACCCTTATAAGAGACAGAGAGAAACATCCAAGTCAGAAAACCTAGGCTTTCAAAATAATAATATTGCAGAGGAGGTAAATATTATAATTGTTCATAATTATCAATCCCGAATTGCAAGCGGAGCATAAACGTGGAGTGGAGCAAACGCTAATTGATATATTTAGGAATTATTATACACTTAATACTAATAAACTCATAATTACTGAAAAATGAAATAAATTATTCAAAGTTTTCATGAAATATTCATTATTAGAAGAAAAAGCCACAAGTCTTAAGCAAAACATACTTATAAATACCTACAAAATTCAAGGAAACAAAAAAGTTAAACCTGTAAAGCTTATTAAAAGTCAAATAAAAGTTTAAGCATCATGAAAATCTAATTCTTCATCATCACTTTCTCCACTACTAGATTTGAAGTCATTTTCATTCTCCCCACTATGTGTTGAATCAACATCTTAATCATTTTCGATGATGATGGTTGAGAATTATAAGGAGTTATCATAGTTGTTGAAAATAGCAACACAAACATAGCAAGATCAATACAAAGATGTAGAGAAACAGAGAGAAAACTACATATTATCACCAAAAAGAGAAGAAACAGAAACACAAAGGAAGAAAAGATGAATCGTATATGTATTGCAGAATAGGAAAATTGAGGGATTTAGGAGTTTTTTGAATAGTTTTGTAAGAGTATAATCATTTTAGGCCAATCATGGGTTGTAGCTACTGCTCCGCTCCGCTTCCAACACTAAATGCTCCGCTCCGCTTCCAACACTAAATGCTCCCACTTTCCTCCCCGCTATTGACACCGCCTCACCAATTTGGGGCGATCCAACGTGGCCGTGGCTGGGGGCACACCACCGCTGCACTCCGGAGTTACAACCGCCTTTATTGACAACTCAAAAATGGAAATGAAGTTCCACTTTTCCAGATGCTATTTATGGAATCTTAACAGCATTTATTTTCACATCAGTTTAACAAGTAACTAAATATTAAATACAAACAAGATCATTAAAACTTACAAAAAGTACAATCATAAAAGCCTCTTCCTAATAAGTGCTCTAAGAACATCTCTTAAAGAAAACAAAGACACAAAACATAACAATAAGTGTAACACAATCCTAAGAGATCACAATGATAAAGCCGATTAAGAAAATTGATTAACTTACCAAATCTGCTGCAGCCTGCAACAATCTGGTAGAGCTAAGGCTGTGTCTCAAACCAGACACATGCCTTGGAGGCTTACCCTTTGTAATTGGTTTCAGATTCTTAAAACCCTCTATTTTATCATCAACAACATCATCATCAACATCAACAACAACCAGAAAATCATTGTTTTTATTGTAATCATCGCTCTCTAACATTGTAAATGAAATAGTTTCTTCCAAATCATACATACACAACAACTAACAAAACCCAATAAATAAACACTAAAAAAATCTCTTGAAGAAAAACGTTCCAATTTGAAGAATAAGTTAAAACAAAATCGATAATTCAAGAAAGAGGAACAAATTGAAGAGGGTGAATCGAATGAATTAGGTGATGAATTGGGAAAAACGAAAGAAATTGGAATTGAAAATTTTGAAGGAATAAGAAAGAAAAACTGCAGGGGTGGAGGTGCGTGTGGCGGTTGTATATGGGGAATAAGGACACGTGGTGTGTTTTGATTGGGGGATGTGGATGGGGTTAACTGGATTGTGTCCTAGCCGTTGGATGAGTTTGGAGATACTTGGAAGTTGGGTTTGTTTTTCTGACAGATAACAAAAGTCAAGGGACGGGCATTGGATTCTTAAACTATACGTGTTTCTGCATCATTGGTTGCTCTTCTTATGCTCTAAATCTTGTCTATGTCTCTTAAATTAACTACTTTACCTTTGCAATTTTAATTATCATTAAATGTTACTAAATACTAATCATTAAATAACACAAATTACAAAGGCTTCAAGTAATATGGGTACTGCAACAATTCTAGAGTAATATGGTTCATGATATTGTACAAGCTAATTTAAACTTAAGGATCAAAATCTAAAATTAAAAATGAATGATACGTGTCTTGTCTTTAATCTTCAAACAATGTTACCGTCAAATGTAACTTACTTCAATCAAGAGCTTAATCAAATATTAGAAATTACGTGAATCTATAAGAAATTAAAATTCTATAACGTCTCTCCAAAAATCCACGCCAGATTTTCTTTCTATCCATTTATCTATTCATTAATTAATAATTTATTTGAAATAATAATAGATAAAATATATACTTATTTAATTAAATAAATATATAATTTTGTATTAACATAATCTATTATTACATTTTAAAATCAAATAAAAATCATGGCTTCATTAATTTATCATAACTATCCAATTTAACACGTTCACATTTTGTTCACACTTTTTGCTATATTAATTTCAAAACTATTTTCTAATGCCACGATCAATTCTACATTTCTATACATAAGTGTTGTTGGATCAAAAATTGTTTATGTAGTTTAGCTTTTTATATCTTTAATTTAGAAGGCTATTAATGTTGTTGCGTCTTTTGACGGTATGGTTCAACTTATATTTGTGAATTGTTTTTTTTTTTTTTTTTTTAAATTCTTAAATAATTTTTATTTTAAAAATTATTAAAGTCACCACTTTTTAAATATTTTTTTTTACTACAAAGAGGTCTCCTCAACCTAAGTGTGTTTTTGTATGGCGTAAACACCCCTGCTTTTGCTTCACTCTTGTCTCACCACTCTCTGTTGAATTTACTGAAATGTTTGAGGTATGTTCTGACTTGCTTAATGATGATGTACTTGATGTGATGATCCTGGTACATTAGAATCATACATCCCATCGA